TGATCTCCCTACTCGAGGAGGGGTTTTAGTCGATAGGCGCTTCGGCGAATCCGACACTAACCCCATTCAGCGGGTGTCTTTTGAAGATTTCCCTTCAGCCGCAACGTGGCGCCCAACCTTGCCGCAACAAGCTGCCGTTCGCCATGTCCCTTGACTGACTAGACGTCAAATTGCCATCCTTCGTGCCGTCCGACCCCGAACTCTGGTTTTGTACGGTCGACCGCAGTTTTGAGGCCTACGGAATTACGTACGAATCAACAAAGTTTGGGTATGTACAAGGCAACCTTGACCCTCACTATGCGGCGGAAGTGCGTGATATCATTGTCAACCCCCCGGAGACTGATCCATATGTCACCATCAGGGCAGCACTCATTCGTCGGCTGGGCTTCTCCCAAGAAACACGGATGAAACAACTTCTCGAGCCAGGGATTTGGGAGAGAGGAAATCCACGCAATTTCTGCGCCATCTACGTGGTCTGGCCGGAACGACTATGTCGGACAATTTACTGCGAACCATTTGGTCAAGTCGTCTTCCTCTTAATATTTAAGGCATCATCGCAACTATGCGCGATAAGAATCTAGATGAAACAGCAGAAGCAGCTGATTGCATCATGGAAGCATTCAAAACGCAAACCATAGCCGCAGCTAATCCCACGACCAGTTCCACTTCTGAGACCATTCAAACTTTAACCAACATGGTACATACTCTCCAGATGGATCTAAACATGAGACGACGAAAATTGAAGAACCAACACCGTTCAAATTCACGCATTTTTCTACCCCGACAACGTTTCCAACCACAATATTAGGGTAAATGATCAAGGGCAAGGCACATTAACGCATCCCACCATAACAGATGACGACAGGAAATCAACCAGGAAACCACGTATGGCAACTACTGAGGTCCACACAGCGCAGCGTCGCCTATTTGTATCGGACAGGATCACACACCAAAAATTCCTAGTCGACACCGGTGTTGACATCTGCGTGAATCCCAAGTCACTAATACCTGGGCCACGTCAGAAATCCACGTTCACGTTACAAGCAGCAAACGGCACCAACATAGCGACTTATGGTACCATTGTTCTGTCTCTCAATTTAGGCCTACGAAGATGCTTCCCACGGCGTTTCATCATAGCTGACGTCACCAAACCAATTATCGGTGCAGATTTTCTTGCACACTACCAATTGCTTGTAGACTTAAGCAACAAACGACTGCTGGATCGACTCACACACCTCACCACCTCTGGTCAACTAATTAACTACAGCCAACCTTTCGTCACTTTCGTCACTTTCGTCACAGAAACGAAACCGACCACTTCTGCTTACCATGAGATACTTCAACATAGCCCTCATTAACGCGACCCAGCGGCCAGATCACTTTTTCGAAACATTCAACAAGGCACTACATCAACACTACATCCGGTCCACTGGTAGCATGTAAACCACGACGTTTAGTTCGGGACCGTTTCTCTGCAGCCAAGAGAGAATTTCAAACGTTGGTACAACTGGGTATCGCACGTCCCTCCTCCAGCCCCTAGGCATCGCCACTACACATGGTCCCAAAGAAAGGCATGAATGGCGCCCATGCGGAGACTACCGTGCTCGCAACTCGAGAACAATCCCAGACAGATATCCTGTACGCAGCATTGACGACTTCACACATGCACTGGCAAACAAGACAATTTTCTCTACTAGCGACCTGATTCGAGCTTATAACCAAATTCTAGTTGCAGAAGAAGACATCCCAAAAACAGCAATTACAACACCGTTTGGTTTGTTCGAGTTTCCGTACATGAATTTTGGATTACGCAACGCCAGCTCAAACATTCCAACGCTTTATAGACGTAGTGTTACACGGTCTTGACTTCTGTTTTGCTTACATTGACAATATACTGGTCGCATCGGAAAATGCTGAACAGCACAAGCAGCATTTACACATCTTATTTACTCGCCTGCATTCCTACGGAATATTGCTTAATCAAGCAAAATACAATTTTGGTAAACGAGTAGTCTCTTTTCTAGGTTATTCTGTCTCGGTAAATGGAATACGCCCTTCACCCGACAGAGTAACAGCAATCTTCAATTTCGCCAAACCTACTACCGCAAAACAATTGCGATGATTCCTAGGTATGCTCAACTTCTACAGAAACTTCCTGCCCAATGCTGCCCGCACTCATTCTGCTTTGAATGAACTTCTTCTGGGGAAGATCAAAGGAAATACACCACTACAGTGGAATCCCACAGCCGACGAGGCATTCAAGTAAGTAAGGAACAACTAGCGCAGACTACTCTCCTGCACCATCCGCAACCAGATGCTACTTAGCAATTTTTTGTGACGCATCCGACCATCACTTGGGCGCTGCGTTACAACTATTCAACAATGGAACCTGGGAACCCCTTGAATTTTTTCCCTCTAAACTCTTGAACGTTGAAGCTAAATGCAGCGCATTCGACCGAGAACTTCTCGCGATTTATCGCACAATTAAGCATTTCCGTTATTTTCTCGAAGCCCGTGACTTCATCATTTTTACAGATCACAAGCCCCTTACCTTTGCTTTCCGTCAGAACCCTGACAAATGCTCTCCTAGACAGTCACGGCACCTCAATTTCATTAGCCAGTTCTCAACGAACATTCAACATATTTCTGGGAAAGATAACATTATTGTCGACACGTTCTTACGAATCTCTGAGCAGGAATCCGACAGGGAACTTCAAAAATATCTCAACTCTAACCAATCCCTACAATTCAAACGGATTTACATTCCCGGCACAGAGACTCAAACCAGCATATATTGTGACAGATGAACAACATCCTCGACCGATACCTACAAAGAAGAAAATGGACGATCGACTAGCACATACAACAACCCGGTTCGGTCGTCGACTACATTTCCCAAGCCATATTCGAATAGGTTAAACCACATCGTTCCTCACTGGAAGAGGGGTCCTGTGGAAACACTCGGTATAGCATTAAACAAATTCAATGTGTAATAATTATTAAAGTTCATCATTTGTGCCGACTTAGTAAAATCGCGGCACCGTGCGACTAACTAGGTCATGGACATTTACACACACATATGTAAACTGCTGAAGTAACTATTGCCATTAAACCAATGTAAATAATTTTTGTATAAATAGCGTGTAAATAATTGAATAAATCAGTCTAACACCAGGCTCACTTTAATTTGGATGCTGCAATAGTGTCAGAACTCACCATAGATGCAGAAATGTGTCCAAGGCTATTATAAAATCGGTTCTTCTCAGAACCACAACTTTTGGTAGTCAAATCTCCATACGACTACATGTTTATAAACTCTATAAACAAACATAAATTCAAATTTGGGGCCCTACAGAGGAGTGGTTCAGAGTTTAAGATCATTTAATGGTATTCTATATAAGACGTCCAAATTAATATGACGTGTATTGATATTATTATTTTCTAATAAAAGTCCTTGTGGTTAAAACTTTGTGTTCCAACTCGGCATACTCCTGACAAAAGCATAGACATTGTGGCGACTCTCGCTTATTTTACTATGTATTCTAATCTTTTAATTGTTTTGCACATGTAAAATCATTGTAAATAATATGTAACACTCAGTATATATAACTTCTGTTTTTCTTCATCTTGTAAACATTCTAACGAACTGTCTTTCTACTAACATCATGTTAACAGTTTCTTTTCTGGATCTGTCTTCCTGCCTTTCTAGCGTATCTGCACCTAACCCACATAAAGTATCCTATATAGTATCTAGTAACAAAAACCGATCGACAGAAAATTCTGACAACAAAATTCGGCGGTTCCTTGGTTTAAGAGCGGTACCCTAAAATAAGAACACATAAATATGCACATATTCACTTTTCACTTCACTACATAATTTCTGCACACTGAAAAACTAGTCTTTCTCAGCCATTCTTGATAGTAACACCTAGCGACCTCCCTCTATTCGTTTTTACTATTTTCATTTTTGTAAAACAAACTCACTACTTTTCTCTTCAGTAACGAGTTTTCTTTATCGTCCATGATCGCCCACAACATCATGGGCGTCTACCTGAAGAGCGTTCCAGATCTTCCAGGTGGCATAGTACAGGAAGCCGAAGTGTTGGAAGTAAGAAAAGGAACTCATGATTGTCTAGGCGTAATTTCAAACAACATGAATTTAGGGGTAGTTCTGTTCAATTACAAATGGCAGGAAATCTCCGAAACCATGAGAGAAGCGTGACAAATGACGTCGATTCAAAACATCACGGAAGGTATAGATAAGCTAGTAAACAGCGTAAGTAATAAGAAAAGTATACAAGTACCCCTTTTACTTCTAATATTATCCAAGAATTTGATCCGCGTAATCATAATGTTACCGTCTGGGTTGAAGCTGTTGACGAATACGCTTTTCTATATAATTGGGATGATAAAACAATTTACCATTTAGCACTCAGTAGGTAGAAAGGCCTGGCAGAAACATGGTATCTGGCTTACGAATACGAATCTTTTCTTGGAATGAATAGAAAGAAATATTGCAAAATTTTCTCGTCAAACGTGACCTACATAAAGCCTTGCAGGAAATGATGTCATGTACCGCAAACCCTAATCAAAGTCTGTATGAATAAATTAAAACTACCCATTCGCTAAGAAGATAAGGTAAATCTCATAATGGGCGGTATTTTTAATGAACATATAAGATTTGCCATTGAAACCGCCTGTTTTGGAATTATTTGAGTCATATCTAAATGTTACTCGGGTGGCCAATCACGTCCAACGAATTTGAATTGCCGCCGTGATATCTACTATGTACTATAAATTTTATTCCAAATACACGGACTACAGTGAAATGAAAATAATCGCAATCATATGATTATTCTCCAAAATCGGAAACTTTTGCAGGTCACTCAGTAATTGTTGTCTGCGTCGGCTAATCAATTTAGATGAATTGTATATGTATTTTATCGGGAAGTTGTTACACTAACATAAATATGTTGTAATACTCATTTGGAATTACTTACTTCAGTGCTCTCTTGTAGTGCATCCGAGCTAGTTCTACGCTAGATGAATCTCGTAAGAAATTAGCATAGTTATAATGCATTTTCGCATTGTGTGGGAGGATGGAGAGGCCGGATCTGAAAAAAATATAAAGAAAAATTGGTATAATGTATACAGAAATATGATTTATTTGGAATAGCTATCGAAGAATTCTTACTGGCCCTAGTCTTCAAGTGAACGTCTGAAAGTTACTGTTTTACGAGTTTCATTTTACGATTTGTTTTAAATATATTATTACAAGAATCAAAACAAACAATGTAATATCACACCAATACCTTTAATGTATAACGCTTCCTCAGAGTAGGTTGCAAGTATGTACAAATTTTCGGGTGAAAAAATGGTTTGTTTCTTTTCCTTTTGAATTGTATTCATTTATATCAACCTTATTTTTATTATTTTTGTAAATAGTTAAAGGCAGCGAGGATTTTAGGAAAGAGTGGAGGTGCGTGTCCAACCACTTTTAGGACTGACGACCTGATGGTGATGAAGGTGTCTATCAGTTGATAGAAGTTTTGAAGCTTGTGAATAGTATAAAAGAGGTGGCAATGTCAGGTGTCGCTGATTGTTTTGAAAAAATGTAAAAAAAGGTCACCTACACTATTGCGTTAATTTCACTATATATGTGCAAAAAAATTAAAGTTAGACATCTAGGTTGGTGCGTTTTTTTATTTAATTATTTTAAACTTGTGTTAACAACCATTCTTTCAAGGCCTGAATGATTCCATTGTGTGGCACCGGTATGGACTTCGGCGTCGGTTGCATCACAAGATGCTGGAACGCTGGAACAAGGGAACGGGGAACGACGGAGGCGTTCTATGTCTGATACTTGCTCGCCAATGTTGTATTGTTATCCTCGCACTATTAATCGTAACCAGGGACTAATTGTACATATTTGTAGTTAACCAGTTAGATCTGCTTTGTGAAACGTATTGGTGTTTTTGTTAATAATTTACCCAAAAGAACTTAATACTTGCAAAAAAAGTTGTACTAAGTTACATTGCTCGTTGGTGAATTTTTCTTAAATTGTGCTTTATTGTGCTGATTATAAATACAAAACAAAAAATAAAAATTATCAAATATTTATTAAGTACATAATGATAAACTATAACATATATTTCTCGCAATTTTGAAAATAAATTTTTTGCAAAATCAGCGATACGACTTTGCCACCTTCTTTATACTATTCACTAGCTTCAAAACTCTTTTACCTATCACTTTCAACGACGAGCTAATCATATGCCCATATTACAACCAGCTCTCTAGATATTTTTTTTCAATTTTGAAAATTTATATTATATATTCGCAGTAAAAATAGAATGGCAGACTTTTGTTTTCCTATTTTTAATAACCTAAATTAACATTCCCTGTACATTTCATTGATGAGCAAATCATTTAAATTTTTATATTTATATTTATTATTTATCGGTAAATTATAAGACTTCAACTGTATATATAGAAAAACCCAAAAATGTAAATGAATAGTCAAAGATCATAAACCAGATGGAGGGTTATTGTTTTACCTAAACATTCAGAACTAGTATGCTGTTGTTCAACATGACATAAAGTTTAAAAATAAGTTAATATCTGTGTATAAGCAGTAACACTCCAAATGTATAACACCTAACTAGTAGTAAAAAACAATTTTTTTTCAGCCTGAAGATGTTTAAATAATCCAAAACGTTACAATAAACATATAGTTGTGTAATTATTTGACCGCCACTCTGGAAAAAACTACATGATTACAAGAGACTTTAAGAAAATTAAGTTTTATTGTTAAATATGATTAATTAAGTCCTCTACTGTCCGACAAAGCCTGAAAGGTAAACTTGTGTATTTAGGAAATCTATTAAATAATGTTTCAAAGATTTTTTAATACACACATCCTGGGCAATGTATGCATTATCCAGTTTATTTCAGGTAATCAGGTAACGAATCAGGAACAAATTATTACCTGCGGGTAGGTATAAAAAAGGTAAGGTGACGAAACAGGAACGCGAGCAAATAATTTAGTATAGTTTTTAGTATGCCAGAAGTTAACTTTAGTGGTTTGTATACTGAAGATTCTACTAAGTTCAACTTCTGCAATATGAGTTCATGATTTAAAAATTTCTACTACCGACTATTACGTCAGTAGGCGCCAGCGAATTTGTGGGTAATAAGTACGGCGTGAAAGTATGAGTATGACATCGTTCACCAATATTTACATTTGCGAATGAACAATACCAAAAAATGGAACATAGTACTGGATGATACTCTATCATCTCTCAGGAAATGATGTAAACAGTTTAGGAGGTGCTTTGACTTAGAAGATGGTCTGAAACGAAGCTTCTGTTAAAAACTTTAGGCACCTTCTCATACCGCAACCTTATAATCTTAAGCATTTAAGTATTAAGTATTGCGACAGGGAGATTTTGCCTACCTGGAAGATCAATGCCAGAAGAAATTTCTTGTTTGATAAATGGTTCGAGCCCATGAATACTTAGGCAAAAAGTAAAATTGAATAGTAAAACGACAGTACTCACCGAGTGACCTACGTATAATAGTAGAAATATTAATTAGAACATATATACTCATAAAAAGGAAAAAAGGGATTTATTCTAACAGCTTAAAATAAATAGTTTATGAAATTCTCGTCAATCTGTGATAATTATATGTTAGGTATTGCAAAACTGATTTTCTTCTGCTAAAGATAAGTAAATACACATGAGGTAATTGATGCTTGGTTAAAACAAAAAAAAAGGAGAAATGAAGGGAATCTGAAACTGTTCAAACAGTAGGATAAAAATTAACTAACTCATTTGGAAGGAAATAATAGGAATAAGGAATAACAGAAATGTTGGAGTAAAATGAACACTTGTTTTGATATCATTACCAAAGAAATGGAAAAGAAACTAGGAGATATGAGAAGTAACGAAGTTTTTGGTTCTATAAACTCGTAAAAATACGTTGCTAACCCTATAGAATCGGACGTCGACCCATCGTATAGTATGTTCATAAAACGTAGTCTGATTTTAATTATAAAAAGAGTACGTTTATTTCATTGAAATTTATAATGGAGATAAACAAAGACTAACTTGGGAAATTCAACAAATTAATAACATTTGGCAATGTTGTTTTGACAAACTTTTGTCCTCTCAGAAGTTATACAATGAAACTAAATATCTAAGTATAGGTAGTATATCGCCATTTGTTGCTAACGAAGTATTTCGTGTGTTAGACAAGGCTTTGTTAAGGTATTAATTAAGGTATTAACTGAATTAACGATGCAGCATAAACATTTACCTACTAAAATCGAAATCCTAATTGGCGTCAGACCAAGAACTTGAAAAAATGTTTTTGTTATAATGGTTTTCGTACCTATCACGTACATATTTATGCTGAATCGTCGAATCAGTTAGGCAACTTGATACGCCAATACGAAATACTTTAGTAACAGTTACTCACCAGATGGCGGTGTACTACCTATACACGGGTTTTTATATAAACTCGCTTTTTTGAATCTTAATTGGTTTGATTAGAGATTTATCCTGTGGCGCGCTGATGAGATGCTGTGGTCTGGCAGTATCGATAAATTCCTAACCAAGAAGTTAAAATATACGTTCTTTATGAATTTAAATATAGAATAATTGCAGGACAACTTATATACTATTTGAGAGAGTGAGGACAGGGAAATTTTCTCTCGTTACTTAATTTCGTTTGTAGGGAAAGAGCGAATATAAGATTAGAAGAAGTTGCTGATTTTACATATCTAGGAAGTCAGATAAGTCAGGACGGAAGGAGTAGTAGGGATATAAAGCAGAGGATAGCGTAGGGTCGTGTCGCCTTTAATAAAACGAAGTCACTTCTATGCTCGCGAACGGTTAATTTACAAATTCGAAAAAGGTTGTTAAAGGTGTATGTTTGAAGCGCGCCGTTGTAAAAAAGGTTAGAAGCGTTCGAAATGTGGTGTTATAGGCGAATGATGAGGATAACGTGGGTAGAAAAGGTTAGAAGCGTTCGAAATGTGGTGTTATAGGCGAATGATGAGGATAACGTGGGTAGAAAAGGTTAGAAATGAAGACGTATTAGAAAGAATAGGAGAAACGGACAACGGGTAACCGCTAACTCAAATAATATAAACGAGTAAAGAAATTCTAAGAATGACGTATGCTTTTCAACTGCTGCGACGGGCAACTGCCGACTATATATATTTGTTCAATGAGTTAATAATGAGACACTTTGAGTTTTTTTATTCAATGCATTAGATAATTCATTTTTGGATTAACTTTATCCGCTACAGACAACCCCCGCGGGCTTTACGCACCAGTACTCTAGTACCAAGCTACGAAAAGGTGACTGCAGTAACACCGACCTAAGGGAAAACTACTGCCACTTTCACTCCCTCGCAGGGAATCGAATTCATTACTAATAATGATTATACATTTGGTTCGACAATACTCTTAGATACGTATTGTCGATGTTGCTGTTGTCACAACCACCTCGTGGATTAGTAGTATAGTACTAGTACGTAAAGCCAGGGATAGGGGTTCGATTCCCGGTGAGGGAGTGACAGCGGTGGCGGTTTTTCCCCATTAATTTAAGGTTATCTCTAGTGGGCAAAGTTAATTCAAAAATTAATTCCCTAATGCATTTAACGAGTTAAGCTATAAAATGCGTTTGTAAATTACTGTAACATCTACTTTGCGGAGGTTTCGCTAATTTTCATGAGAAGACTTCAATTTAGAAAAGCCTTTCAAACTACAACGTTTTAACATGCACGAAATAGTTATAACGAGGAATTTATCGAACAATTTCCACTTTAAAAGAACAAAATTCAAAAGTTCAGAGCGAACCGTATCGTTCGAAAAGCTTTCTATTTTCTTTTGTAAATAATGAAAGCCAAAGCAACGTGATCTCACGTCTATCAACTATTTGTTTTTTCGAACGACAGTCAAGTGGTTAACTCTTTACTACGATACAGTGAATGTTGTGATTTTAATGGCAAGTGTTTCTCTATCTTTTTCCGTCTCTTTGAAAGTGGGGAAAAAGCTGTTTTACGCTCCGTTTAGCTAACAAACGAAGCGAGACACAGTTCCTG